AGGCTACTTGCAGATGTTAAAAAAGCAAAACAAACCTCCTCCTACCTCCCCACCCCCAAACCACACTTTACCTGAAGAAGCAGCATGTTACTTCAACCTGCCTCTGCAACGTCTGTATAGATCGTGTGCTTCAGTGGGGCTTTTTGGCACTTTTAACTAAAGCTGATTCAATCAACTATTAGATAAAAGTGCCGTAAAAGCCCTACTAAAGCGTCCAATCTTTACGGATGTCAGGCAAGCTGGGTTGAAGTAACATATTACCTCTTCTGGGCATGCACAGGGCTCAGCACAGGAAAAACTTGAAGCCAAAATACAGCCTACAATAAGCACAAGGCCCAAATACCTGACCCACTAATAAAGCACACAAAGCTGAATGAAATCCCATGAGTTTGCAATGAGAAAACATTTGGTGGATCTGTCTCTTGTGCATCGTATTTGAGTTAACATTAACAGTACACAGAAGCTGTGCACCACACCTAAAATGCTAGCCCTAGAGAGAAACTCAAAAGATAAACTCTAGATTCAGGTAGGCTCTTGCCTGAATTGCCCTTTCCCCAAGGCTCCTTTTTTTAACATGATGCCTATCTGCATGCTATTCCATTACTCATTTAGCACACAATGACACTCCCTTCAAAGCCTCTCTTTCCCACAGGTCTGGGGAATCGCTTGTGATGATCGAGCAATTTATTTCCGCCAAGGTGTCACACCGAGTGAGCTAAGTGGGAAGACGTGGAAGGCGATTGTATCTGGCAGAGAGAGTGACAGATCTCAGACTGGCAGCTCAACTAGTCTGCTCAGGTACCGAATAAAGTACCTAAATGCTCTGAACTCAGTGATCAGGGGATTAGGATGCTGACAGAGTCCAGGAGGTATTTCTGTGAATACAGAGTACAGGGAGGCCCCTCACTGTAACCTGGAGCAAACCCTAGACTTAGATTCTCCTGCCATTATGTCCCAAAGTGCATTTATATTTTTTCAATTAAAAAGTACAGTGAATAGCAAACGTCATTTTGAAGTAAGAGCTGATGTTCTCACATGGGAGTATAGTGCAGCCTTCTAGGAAAGCGAGCAGACCTGGGGTTTTACAGAGGCAGGAACTACAGAGGGCTATCATGTCCATGTATTGATTATCCGTCTCACCATTGCTGTCACAGCATCTTGCCACTTTCCTTCCCAAAAAGGATAAGTGAATGGCTCCTTGCCAAGTGTTGGCCTGTCTGCCATGAGACTGGGAATGTTGCATAAGTCTTCCACTATGCACTAGGAGTTAGTGTAGCTATGTAGAAACCACCTCCAGCTGAGAGGAAAGCTGCAGCATCAACAGACTCTAGGCAGTCCTGCTTGTTGTCTCTTGGCCAGAAAGATGGTGATTGTAAGATGGAGTCTGATATTTTGGGTTATTTCTGCAGGCCATGTGTTGTGCTTTCTTCCCTGGGGGATGGAACTGAGCCTTGGAGTTCTGAAACCTGAGTAGTTTCTGTCTATCTCTGGAGCTGTGCTAGCTAACAGTGCTGTGAATGATGGCCAATTAGTTATTTGTCTCTTTGTTCCCCAGTGCTGGCTGTTTCTTTAGTGACGAAGTTAGGGACCAAGCAAACTCAATCATTCAGAGTGATGGAGACATTTCCTCCGATACCGAGAGCCCACGTGTGCCTCCAAATCATGCCGATGCTCCCCTTTCCGGAGCTGCTATCAGCAGCAATGAGAACAACGCAGACTCACAGAAAGAAGTGGGTGCACATCTGGCTGTGGATTCTCTGGATTCTGCTCAGGAAGAAGCTAATTCTACTTCAAGCAGTAGTGAGAAAGCTGGTCTTGAAAAACCCGAGTCTTCTGTGGACCAGGACACCCATCCAGCAGAATTGCAGTGGACAAACATTGATTTAAAGGAGGCCCATAAAAACCCAGTCCTCACCTCCAGCACCTTCAGAGAAACATCCAGCGTATCTTCCCTTGGCTTGTTCCCAGTTGGCATTGAAGAACCCTACGGAACTGATGAGCACCCATTTTGGGCATGGGTATCCGGTGGAGGCTGCCTGGTGGATCTGCACAGCCCGCTGAAATGGTTCACTATTCAGACAGGTACTTTCAGTTCCTCATGGTGGGGCCCTGATCCACAATTTGGGCCTATTTGTGATGCCATAAGAGATAATTATAATAAAATACTGTGCATTTAAAAAAAATAAGAAAAGGTGAGAGATCACCCTTGTACTAGTTATTTGTTACCTTTTGTGCATGAGATGAATGCACTTCCTAGTACACGTATCAATTTTGGCACATTTGCCAGAAATATTATGCTCAAAATAATCACTTTGTTGATGTTTTGGGAGTCCATTAGGTCCTTCTGGGAGCTTAGAACAAAATGGTGTCATTGTATAATTGAATATAAACCAAAAAGAGTCAAGGGGCCTCTTATGACTCCACTGATGGTGTTGTAAAGGCAATGTTACCCCCAGGACTGCTTTAACCCATTGTGTTTAAAGCAACAAATTATATTCCCTCAAGTGTCTGGTACTTCAGAGAATTGCACTCAGAGCTCACTTGGCTGTGCTGCTTTTTGGCTGTGCTCTAGGTTTGTCGTCTTCTGTGCAGTCCCTTTCTCTGTCAATCACTCCAGCCCAGACAGCGGCTTGGCGAAAGCAGATTTTCCAGCAGCTAAGTGAAAGGACCAAGCGGGAGCTGGAAAACTTTAGGCATTATGAACAGGCAGTTGAGCAAGTAAGTAGGGATGTCTCGTTTCCTTTTCCATTATTCTCATTATCATTTAACCATTTCAGTTTTGGGCATCATTGATGATACTTTCCAGTATGTGGCCTGAAACCTACTGTAACTTCAACCTTGTATCTCTTCACCCTTGAATCCCGGTAATCAAATCTGTCCATGAGCACCTGGGCAAAGCCTCAGTAAAACTGGAAGCTGTAGGAGCCACTAAATGTTAAGCACGTATGCTCTTATGTAAAAGCATTGGCTAGTAACATAAAAACACTTTCTTCACTAGAAAACAGAAAGCTTATCAATGCCAGTGCACTTGCCACTGAATGTCCTAAAGCTTTTTTTACCAGGGATGTAAGTCTCTGAACTCAACAAATTCAGGCCCTTCTGCTTGCTTTTGACTCTAGTGAGTAACTCTTGTTCTCTCCATGACCACCAGAGGGAGGACAGAACATGCCCCAGCAATTATTATAGTAGGATTTCAGCTTGTCTTCACCATTATTCTCACACAGAATTAATTGGGTCTCTTCATAAATTCCATTTAAGATTTAGGACCCTCCTTTGATAAGTGATTTAAATTGTCTTATCTTTATAAAATATTAAAATACATTGAGTTTTAATTTGCATTTCACAGTGATTTTTAATTAGGGTTACCATATTTCCAGTTCCAAAAGAGAGGACACCTGCAGGGGGACACCTGACTTCCAACTCACAGACCCCCTGGCCCTGCCAGTGCCCTTCACTCCCAACCTGCAGCCTTCCTTCCCTGCTGTGCCTCACTCCCTACCCACAGACCCCTGGCCCTACCAGTGTCCCTCACCCCCCCGGGTATGCTGGTGCCCCTCACTCCTGACCCACAGACCCCCTGGCCCTGCTGGTGCCCCTCACTCTCAAGCCACATCCCCCCAGCCCTGCCGGATCCACTCACTCCCAATCTGCAACCCCCTGCTCTCCCTAGCCCTGCTGGAGGGGGCACCCAGCTGCCCCGTCCCAACTGAGCCCCAGAGCAGTGACTCCAATTTGTGCAGGTGGTGGCAGAGTGAGTCCAGCTCCAGCACAGGCTGGAGGGAAGAGGAGGGAAGGCCTGTGGCCCCCCCCGCCCCCATCCTGGGCTGGGGCTCCTGTGCCACACCAAGCAGCCTGGCCACGGTCCCCGTCCCTCCCAGACAGCATCTTCTGGCTTCCCCACCCTCACAAGCATGGGCACTGGCCCTGGTGCCTCTGGCCCAGCCATGGAGCTTCCCGCTGCCCCCAAAGGGCTCGTCTGCTCCCTTCTGTTGCTGGAGGGCAGGCATCATCCCTCCCGACCCCTCCTGCCCTGCCACAGCCTGAGCCCGGACAGCTTCCCCCGGCACTGCCAGGCACTCACCCCTCTCCACACTCCACCCCCTTCCCCGACAGTCCCCAAGCCCTGGCCCTCTAACCCCCGCTCCCATAGACTTACCTGCATCCAGCTTCTGGGGCTGCTCCCACCACCCTGCCTGGCTGCATGCAGCCACGTGCATGTGCACGTGCAGACGTATGCAGTGCCCCCTGCCTCCAATAGCCCCACCAACAGAGCAGAGCAAAATCCCAGACACTGGTTCAGATTTCAAAAAACCACCCAGATGGAAATGGGAGGATCCAAAAAGAGGTCATGTCCGGGAAAACCCACTTGTATAGTAACCCTATTTTAATCAGATTTAATAGGGGATGGTGTTAGAAAGTGCAATCTTAGTTAGACCGAAACTGCTGTATTTATTTTTATTTAAGTTAATACTGTATGCAAGACACTAGAGTAAAACAATCTCTTTGTGATTTTCCAGCTCTCTGCATATTAGCGAGGCATATATCTGTTTTTCACCCAGCTTTGCTAGTCTTCAGCTGATCACTCTACCTTCTGCTTCCTATTCCTCAAAGTGGTACAGGAAGAGCCAGCAAGGATTTGGGGGAGGGGTTAGGGGGGTCTCTCAGCTTCTCCTTGTGATCTTATGTTTCTGCTACAGTCTGTCTGGGTTAAAACTGGGACCTTACAGTGGTGGAGAAGCTGGAAGCCTCATAAATGGATGGATGTTCGAGTGGCTCTTGAGCAGTTCACTGGGAGCGATGGAGTGCGAGACAGCATTCTGTTCATCTACTACATGCATCATGAGGAAAAGAAGGTGTGTACACCTAACAAAATGTGATCCCAGTCTTACATTTGATAAAAGGAAATGTATGGATACAAAAGAGAGGGTTGAGTGGCTTGGAGGAAGAACATTTTCATAAATGACTTTTCTCATCTCTAGATTACCAGTTCAAAACTGATCCAGGGCATTAGGGAGTGAAAACTCTTTCTGATACTTGTTTCAGCCTCCTGTTAAAAAGTATTTCAGTGAGTGGGTGTCTACAGAAACCACCATGAGCATTATATCAATTAACAATATTGTTGATAACCCAGAGATAGCCCAAATCTTGATGCCTGGCAAGAGGAGTAGGGTTGATACACAATGATGGAGTGGTCCAGAAGATAGATAGGACCTCTGTCATACCGAGCCATAAGGCTAACCCCATTTCCTGAGCACTTGCAACCAAAAAACAGGGTGCCTTCCAAGATGAGACTGTGTCCTTCTTCTGTTCTAACCAGGGACTGCATAGGGCTTAGTCTTATAATTATACTGACTTTGAGGGAAGCTTTCCATGAGTTTGCCTTGGTTACAATGCTCTTTCTACTGTCTCAGTACATCCATGTGTTCCTCAATGAAGTCACCATTCTGGTTGAAGTTTTGAACGACTCCAAGCACTCCTTTGCCCTGTACACACCTGAGAGAACGAAGCAACGGTGGCCAATCCGCCTAGCAGCTGCGACAGAACAGGAGATGCACGACTGGGTAACTGCCAATCTGGTTATTTCTTAGCACTTGGGTTGTGTAAGTTCTGAGCATTAGGCTTGCAAGATTTGGGCTCTTTGGCCATTTCTACATTGGAGAAACCAATTTGGGGGGCATAGGGTAATCCACCTATGCTACAGAAGTGTTGCCATGGCTTACTCGACACTACAGTAAACATCTGAAGCTGCCTGTTATCCCTAGTGCAAGTGATCCCATGATAACACCAAGAGAATGGCTTTTTTTCCTCTGAAATCCCCTAATGTGAGCAAGGTCATAGAAACCACAGACAGAAGTTGTGGCACGGTCACCTCAGCCTGTCCTTCCTTGAGAATTGTAATTAAATTGAGTACTGTGCAATGACCAGACCTACAGATAACCTTAACAACTAAGGTTTGCTCTGCTCTATGCAGATGTTATACTTCTTATAAGGAGTTTAATCTAGTAGACCAGGGGTCAGCAATCCAAGGGCTGGATCTGGCAGGTGGAGCCAGTGGATCTATTTGTCTTGGTGGTGAGGGGCTTTGCTGGGCAGTGGAGAAGCAGTGGCAGGGGAGAAGTGAGGGCCCTGTCCTAGGGCTGGCCCACCTTGGACCTTGGCTTATTCTGGCCCACCACCAAAAAACATCGCTGACCCCTGCAGTAGGCCAAAACTTTCCTGCTTTTCTCTATGCATTGAGCTGGGTATCTGCCTGACTGCTGCTCTACAGCACAGAGATTGCTGAATTTCAGCAGCAATGACAGGGTTTATGTTTGCACACCTCCACACGTTCTGAAACATTTTGGGATCCTGCAAGGTGCAATATACATATCAGAGTCCATTAATTGCATCAATAGTAATGAACTGTGATATGTTTGATCTGAACTCTGCTAGTTCACCACAGAGTTTTAGGAGTGTAGAAGGTTAACATCTTTTCTCTCCCTAGCACTAGATCATTAGTGTTAGATAAGAAATGTGTTAGAACATTAAGACCATGACCTACATCTAGCTCTTCGTTCCTTCCTTGTACCATAGCTTGCTTTGCTGAGCATGTCCTGCTGTGAAAGCAGACGGATTCAAGGCCCTCCTTCCCATCACGCAGTCTGGTCAGTCACATGCAAAGGAGACATCTTTGTTAGTGAACCGAGCCCAGAACTGGAGGCTGCACCACACCTGATACCATGTGACCAAATGTAAGACATTTCTGACATTGCCACTTGCTAGTGAGGGTATCATGAAGCCAGAATTTTCTTTAATGGGCAAGTCATTGGTTTTACACACAGCATGAAATGCACAGTATGCTGCTGATGTTAGCCAATAAATATTTCCCTTCATTCTCATAAGTGACGAAGTTTCCTAGGATCACATTTTAGTTTTCATATATTTGAGCCATGTTTTATGACTCTGATCTATCTGATCTCATTGAGCGTGACCTGAAACAGCTTGCAGGACCGGGCCCTAAATTGTCATAGCCATATAAATGGATGGTATAAATGGAGTTTATATAATATAAATATAATATAAATAAATGAATAATGAATATAATGTGGGAACTGATTATTTAATAACCCCTAAGTCAGAAAATCTGGAGTCCCAAAGCCTGTATCATTATGCAGGGCAGAAGAGGCTCCATAATTATGGTAAAAATCCTTATAAGAGCATCATAATTAGTCATTAAAAAAAAAACAAACAGACAAGAAATTTAACAAACCATGAAATTTAGAGTTGAATTTTAATGAGTGAAACATTTGGAAGCCTGCAGGATTGCAGTAAAAGCAGTCAAGCTGTCTCCAGTTACTATAAGTAGCAGATCAAAGGAAGCATTCTGAACTGCTTGGACCAAAGCTGATTGGGCTGACCTTTTTTCTTTGCCCTTACACAGTCAGAATTCAGATGTAACAGAAAATGTGCCTTGCTCATGAGTATGTTTATGAATGGATTTTAAAATGTCTCTTCCCTTCAGGTTTTGGCGTCAGATAGGAGGGCATCTCCGACTGATAGAATGCAATAGCCAGGGCATAGTGTGGGGCATAGGGTACGATCACACAACCTGGGTTTATACTGGTGGCTATGGAGGAGGCTTCATTCAAGGTAAGGAAGCATGTTTCTTCCACCATGGTGTTTAAAAGTCCCTGTGTGACATCAGCAGAACCAGCTATTTCAATCTTCCATTCTTGTAGCTCTCTTCTCTGTAGAATTTTGTGAGGGGCAGATCCCATCCCTGCAGGGGAAGTTGGGCTTTATATCTTGGTCTCAATACAATATTCATAAGTGTTGCTGTATACCTGCCAGAATTGAGACTTCCCTAAAGTTTTGGCATTGCTTTTAATCCCAGTGGTTTAATTCCTGCAGGATTGGCCAGTAGTGCTGATAATATTTACATGCAATCGGATGTCAAATGTGTTTATATATATGAGAACCAGCGGTGGAATCCAGTCACTGGATATAGTAGCCGGTAAGCTATATTTTATTAAATAAAAAGCATGTAGTTTTATTACATTTCTCCATCCAAGGTATTTTTTAGAACTTATTTCATGGGTAGTCTGTAATGTTTAGTATTAAGTTGGGTTGGAAACTACATGGTCTTTAAGGTCCTAGTGTTGTCAGTGTTCATTAAAGAAGGCAGTGTTACTCATCTTGCAACTGCATTTCATCCACTCATCAGGAGCTCTTGAAAAACAGGACCATGTACATTGTGCACTGCTCAGCAGAATGAACCTTTGATCCCAGCTGGGGCTTGTGGGCATTACATTTAATAACCTGTTATAAAATTATTTAATAACATTCTTTCATGGTTTAATATAATGGGAGCCAAAACATCTTTGCCCTTGCTAAATAAGGAAGACAACATTTTCTTCACACTGTAATAGGTTAATACATCTTCTTCTCCTCATGATGCACATAATAGAATATAGATGGATGAATAGGATGCTGTCTCACACTCCATCACTCCTGGTGACTAAAAGTAATGTTGAAGTGCTTTTTATTGTGTCTTGCATTCACCCTATATTTCTTAACACTTAGAGAATCTAATGACTAAAGAGTGTGTTTAACATATGCGTGCAGGACATACTACCTGAAAGAGAAAGATTTTATTATCCTTTAACATTCTCTCTGCTTGTATGTTGTTTGTTACAGGGGTCTGCCCACAGATCGGTATATGTGGAGCGATGCATCTGGTTTACAAGAATGCACAAAAGTTAACACAAAGCCTCCATCACCACAGTGGTCTTGGGTAAATTTTGTTTTTAAATGAATTCTTTTTAGAAGAATTAATGTTAGAAAAGTAATGTCTACTGAATAGACCCCCCTGGACTGCAAATTTATTCCTGACTTTGCCATAACTTGTGTCACTTAAACCTCAATTATTCCCTATCCATAAAATGAAGATAATCTTTCCTACCTCCATTCAATGTTCTTGGACTCCTTTAAGAATCCAAACCTAAATGTTTATAATACCATGGGACCCAAGAATAAAAAGTGCTCTTGATATGCAAAGTTGTACTACAAGTATTATTGCAGTATACTCTGCAGCAGGTAAAGTGCAAAAGATGGACAGTAAACATTAAAAAGGAATTCCCATGTCATGCTTTTGCTTTCTGTTGTGCTTCTGTTAAAATTTAATTTCCTGACTGTAGGTGTCTGACTGGTATATTGATTTCAATGTCTCTGGTGGAACTGACCGAGAAGGCTGGCAGTATGCCGCAGACTTTCCAGCGTAAGGAATTTAATTTTTTGTACTTAATATCCTGGGTGCCAGTGTGCCATGTTTAACCCCTGAATACTTAATGTGTGTTCATTTGCCATGCTGTGTTGGCACCTTGATTTTTCCCGCACTGTAAAATGAGGGGGAGAGGACTGACTATGTAATATGTATGAATTAGAAGTATTACTCTCTATAGATGTTTAGAAGGTAGACAGTGGGTAAAATGTAAGTCCCACAAGACAAAGCAAATGTTTTCTAGTATTGTAAGGTGCACATGCTTTTCTGTAGTGGGTAGTTTATCACTGGCCCAGGCCAATGCACAGTATCCTCATAATGTTGTATGTTGGAAGTTAGGGGCTAAATACAGATACTAAAACAGCCTGAAGCTGAATCAGTTCGATCTTCACAGGTTAGTCTCAGCTGTGTAGATTGAACTGATAAGCAAGTGAACAAATATTCATTTTGATTCCAGAAACACAGCCACGTGCATGCAGTAGCTCAGGCCAGAAGCTGGGGGGTGGTGCTAGAGCATGCTTCCCTGCTTAGCTGGAGCAGACAGACTGAGCCAAACCTAGCTTGCCCACCCTGCAAGGGGCGGGCTGCAGGGGAGGTCCCACCAAACATCCTGGGATGCTTATAGATTCATAGGTGTTAGGGGCTGAAAAGGACCTCTCAAGATCATCAGGTCCAGCCCCCCTGTGCTTGGGCAGGAAATACTGCTGGGGTCATGTGACCCCAGCAAGGTGAGCATCCAGATGTTTTTTTTAAGATATCCAGAGTAGGTGATTGTACCACCTTTGTGGGGAGTCTATTCCAGACCCTGGACACTTGAGTTGTAAAGAAAATTTTCCTTATGTCTAATCTAAAGTGGTCTTCTAGCAATTTATGACTGTTAGTCCTAGTCTTCCCCTGGGGAGCCCTGATGAACAGATGCTCTCCCAGTCCCTGATGTGGGCCCCTTATATACTTATAAGCTGCCACCAAGTCCCCTCTGAGTCTTCTCTTTTCCAGGCTGACCAGACCCAAGTCTCTCAGCCTTTTATTGTATGGCCTGCTCTCCATGCTGGGGAATTAACTTGAATCTGGAGGGGATCTGGGACAGAAGTTCAATAAACTGATTTAATCTAAATCAGCTAAGTCTGATACTACATCCATCCAGGTTTATGTTAACCCAGTTTCAGCCATTTTGAAAGTGGTTTACATGCACTGAACTTCAGTTTTGTTACAGATCTGAACCAGTTTCCAATTGCTTATGCTGGTTTATGTTTAACTTCTGTCCCTAGCCAGGGAGAGTTTTGCACAAAGAGCAGGATAGAAAATAACAATGGGCTTAAAAAGACTCAGTGCCAGCGGGTAATACTTGAAATCAGAAGGATTTCAGAATCCTTGCAGTATTATTAAGCCATATATCTTCTTTGATAGATCCTACCATGGCCACAAGACAATGAAAGACTTTGTACGACGGAGACGCTGGGTAAGGTAAGGGACTAAGATAGAAGATAATTTCAAAAGTTGTCTGTTTATTCCCTGAAATATCTTGCAGTTCATGGGGAAAACTTGTGTCTACTCACTTGACAATCGGTACAAAAGATATAATCTGCAGTGGGGCAGTCTGTGGTCTTTAGCAACTATTTGTATTGTATTTTTCACTCCAGGCTTTATGAGCAAATATCATCAAGGTTTTAAGTGCAACTCTGTGAGATCTTTCAGCAAAAAGACATCAAGGTTGACTATATGACTAGTACACATTGTTACAAGGTTAGCTAGGTCAGTAGATTGCTTATAACCAGTCATGGAAATTAACTAGTTAAAGAAATGGCTAACTTTTAACTTTAACTAGTTAAAAAAAAACGGTTAACTTTAACTTTTTTTAAAGTATAAGTTAAAAGTAAAAAAAAAAAAAATGAAATCCGACTTTCCCAGAGTTTTCCCTGCCAGCCACTCTCTAGAAGTTACACGTAACGATATTTCTTTATTGAAACTCTAGGACTTCTTGTTCGAGGCAGAGAGTAGTGTGCTTTCCTATGAGATATGGTCTTTTAAGAACTACAAGTCCCAGCGTTTCTTAGTTCATGCTGGCATTTTCTGTGCATTTGCAGAAGTCAACAGGGCAGCCAGTTGGCTGCAGGAGAGGGAACAAGCACAAGCAAGCAGAGACATTGATCCCAGTAAGATTGGGAGCAAGTAGTGAGGGTGAAGCAGATAATGACGTTTTAATTTTAATGAAGATCAGAACCAGCAGCCCAGGGCCCAAGAAGTTGAGCATTACTTCTCATCTGTGAGAAACTTATCTGAGATGTCACCTACTATGAAAAAACTATTCATCCGTTATAACACAAGCATTCCCTCATCTGCCCATGTAGAGCGATTGTTCAGCATTGGGGGCTTAGTTTTGCAAGACAGAAGAGGAAGATTGTCAGATGTAAATTCTGAAATGCAGCTTTTGCTGAAGTTCAGTAAGCATGTTTAAACAGTTTCTGCTATGCAATTGAACCTTCTTTTTCTCATTTAAACTGATTTTCTCATTTCAGTCTAATTTTGATTTTCAGACACTTTCATTATTTCTAATTCAGATGTATTTCATACCCTTTTGTTACCTTTTTGAGCAATAAAAACTGTAACAACAAAGGTTTTCTGTGGAAACAGCTTTCATTTGTCACCTGGCTATGAATATCTCCTTTCTGTTATTCTGGTTTACCTATATGATGCATTGACTTTTACAAAGTACTTCACATGGAGAGGGTCAGAAGGATCTAATATTACATAGGTATTGGTAAATTGTTAGTCTGAAAACCATATGACAAGTATAACATTGTTTTCAGGTAAAGTGGGGTGAGTGCTGAGTAAATTAGTGGGCTTCTGTGGGCTTATGGAAAAGAAACCCACTCATTCCATTTGAAAATGAAAAATGATGCTAAGAGGCAATTCACCATGTTTCACGCATTTCTCACGAATCATCTTAACTTTTTAACTAGTCGCTCCCTTTTTAACTTACCTTTTAACTAGTTGAAAGTGGAAATATTTAACTTTTAACTTAACTCAAGTTAATTTTAAAGGCTGCTAACTTTTAACTTTAACTAATTACATTTTTCATACACTTTTCCCATGAGCGCTTATACCCATGCTTTGCATGCTAATAGAATTACCCCGCTATAAACTTGAATGCAAGCAGAAACCACCTACTACGTAACTGATGAATTATTAACATCGATTTAAGCCAGACTACACTCTGATTGGCTGGAAACAAAAACGAGAAAACCACCGTTGTATTCTAGTTTAAGCAGGAGGAACCTATGTACCCCAGCGTATCCAAAAGGAACTTGGGCTAACATTGAATAGCTTCAGTTTCCCTGGGTGCTTTCTTGTGGCAAGCTATCAAACAGGCGCACTAATAAGGAGCTGTAAGCCTACAAATTGCATGTTATTCCCCTGAAAATTTGGTTTTTGTTTTGTGCTTGCAGGGCCAATGTTTTGGCTCTGGACTTGTCTCTTCCTTCTCCTAAGCAAAGCCTGAGAGCCTGAAACTGTTGTTTTATTGTACATCCTGTAACTGCGGATTGCGTTCAAACACTCTAAAGGGTGATATGACTTACGTCAAGTTGAGAACCATCCTTAGAGGCAAATGTTTCTGTCAGGGTACAAATTTAAATTTGAAAGCAAATAGGAAACTGCTTAGGGCTACATCCTGGTTTCAGGCTGGAGGAAGGAGGAATGCTGTTTATTTTTTGGCAGTGGGGAGGTAACTATTCTGATGATGAACTTTAGTGCAACTTCCCTAATATGCTTCTTGCTTGTATATCCCTAATTCCTTACTTTTTTCTTGGTGGAAACTGAAACAATGTTGCTTTCCAGAACACTCCATTCAAATGAGCTTTTTCTGTATCTCTTAATGGGAAATTGCCCACTTTCCCTTCAGTGTGCTAACTGCTGAACTGTTGTCTTTGGATAGCCCCTTCCCTGAATCAAGTAATGAAGATGCTCCCACTGCCAGAACAGAGGAGGGAATGGACCAGCTGCAGAGTTTTGCTTTCTACGGTGGAGTCCCCAATCTCTTCTTTGTCTTGATACACTTGGCTACGATTAAAAGGGAGACAGGAAAGTAGAGCAAGCTGCAAACTCCTTAAAGGCCTTGCTTTTGCTTCATTAAAAATTCCTGACAAATTACCACTCTCGTCTTGATCTGATATGCTTCAAAACTTGATCCAAAAACCCCATGCTGTTTGGTGTCAGCCCTCTTGCAAACAGGAAATACTAGTTTGCATAATCTCCACTGAACAAAAGGGTCTGGGGATTATTTCTGCCTGAACTTTAACTACTCCTGTCAACAGCGGAGAAAATGTAGTGGAGAAAGTACATATTCCTAAAACATTGTGTTTTTTCTTCTTCAGAAAATGTAAAATAGTCACCAATGGGCCATGGCTGGAAGTGCCTCCCATCACCCTGTGGGACATCTCCATAATCCCCAGTTCAGCTGCAGATGAAGAAGACTCCATAGCTGTCTGGGCAGTCAGTGACAAGGGAGATGTGCTCTGCAGGCTTGAAGTAACGCAGCAAAATCCAGCCGTGAGACTTCTTGTTTATCTTTACTGTCTCGTTTATATATAATTAGTGTATATTGGCATTCAGTCACTTCTTGTTCTCTCAAGTTACTTCTCTGATTGTTTTCCCCTTTGTGCTTCAGATTTGAAGCTCTTTGCCCTCCTATGTAAACCCGATTATTCTTCAGCTGCTTTTTCCTGTTGCAACCTTTTTCTGACCCTATACAGTCTCCATCCTCACCTAGTGCTGGCCCTATACTGTCTCCATCCTTTTTCTGGCCCTATACAGTCTCCATCCTCACCTAGTGCTACCTCCTAGGCTTGGAACAGGTTTTCTCCTACCCCATATCCCTCCCTAAGACCCATTTCCTTCACTTCCCTTTCCATCACTGAAGGCTCTCCTACTACCTTCTCTTTGAACTGCTGGTAATAATCTGATTTAGATACTAAGCTGCTCCAAAGAAGACTGTTCAAATTATGGCTTCACTTGAAAACCCACTGAAGTCAGTCTTTCCATTAACTTCACTGGACTCTGAACTGAGCCCTGTTTGTTATGTAAAGACCCAATATCACCTACAAATCCTGGAGGAAAGACTGCAACACCAGTTTCTCAATCCAGTAAACAGTACAGTGGTCTTCAGTAGGACTACTTGCACTCTCAACATTAAGCATGTGGTTACCAACTTTACAAGATTAGGACCAAGATGCATTATTTTACAAAACATTTGTTTCTACACCTGGCTAACATTTTTCATTTCTTTTCATACTTAAAGTTTTGAAAAAAGTAAAAAATTCATGAATATTTTGTTTTTTTCTTTTAGTTCTGTCTAGGAATTGTACTAATTATGATTGAAATCTTAACACCCTTACAGAAAGTTCGCAGAACTGAATATTGGATCTCAGCTATAGAATAATCTGAACAAAAGGGTGTTAAAAAGGGTCTCTGGCCCAGATCATCAGAGACATTTGGGCATCTAACTGCCACCAGTTTTAACACACAGGGCACTTCTACATGTGCAAATGCTGTAGGGTGGGTTTGCTCTATAGTAAGTTACTCTAGAGTAAACCCACCCCGGGCAGGCATCTACACTTGCAGGGATGCAGGAACAGATTTGTTGCTTCTGGCAGCAGTCTGATCCTGCCCCCTCCGGCCTCTAGCTCTAGGCTCCCCCTGGGTACTAGCCCAGGGGCTAGGAGGGAACATGGGGCCAGGAGACAGCTGTCTTCTGGCAGGGGCTGGGAGATTGCTCCCTGCCCCTGAGAGCTGCCACTGAAGCCCAGGTGGGGACAATGTCCCCCTGCCCCAGCAGTTGGGAACTCCCAGCCCTAGCTCCCCAACTGGGGGCAGAGGGCTTGGAAAGAGCTGCAAGGGAGGGGCAGGTTATTCTCCACCCAGCTAGGGGCTCTCTGCTAGATGCCCCACTGGCAGATTGGAGAGGGACCTGCCGCCCTCCATCCCTCCCCTCAGCTCTTTTCAAGCCTCGTGCCTCAATCGCCCAATCGGGGCTTGGGGCTGGGACCTGCCCCTGATTGAGACAGTTCCCAGCCAGCCCCAGGCTGCAGGGGAAGTCTCTAAATGCAGCCTGGAGCTGGCTGAGGGCTGCCCTGTTCCCAGCCCCCATTCGTGGGCAGGGAGTGGGGGCTGGGACCTCCCTGCTGCCAGGGCAGGGGGACATTGTCCCCACCCGGGCTCTTGTGTCCTGGCAGCAGGCAGCTCCCAGGGGCAGGAAGCGATCTCCTGCCCCCTGCTGTCCAGCTGACGGGGAGCAAGTTTGCTCCCTTGTCAGCTGTCTATATGTGCTGTACTGTGCAGTAACTAATGTGAGTAAATTTGCTATTTGTATTTATAGATAGCAAATTTACTCACTATTAGAGCATATTACTGTGCAGTAAGTGTCTGCATGTGTAGACAGTGATGCTTACTGTGCAGTAATTTGCTCTTATATTGAAGAAGGCATCTTGTGTAGACATGCCCACAGAGTCCAATTTTAAGCTTACCAGAGTCACTGATTTTACTGGGAGTTTGGCAACTAAATAAGTTTAACCACCTGGGCCTCTGTGTCTAAGTCAAATGGTTTAATAAAAACTATTATTCAAAAGCTGTTTTATTTTCTAGGATTTTTTTAATCAGGTGGTGGGTAGTCAATAGGCACACAATCATTTGGTTCTCTAATAGGGTTGTTTTTACAAAACTGTTGTCATTCCTTAGGGAACATCCTGGCTTCATGTGGGAACAGATCAACCCTTCATTTCAGTATCAGTTGGAGCTTTTTACCAGGTCTGGGCCATTGCTCGAGACGGCTCGGC